ACGATCCTTTGCATTTCATTAAACCATAGCAATGGTATGACAACACTTGAAACCTTGGTTAACCTTGACACTGGTAATTGGTTCATGTGTTACCTTGAGAGGTAGGACACCCCCAGCACCAGAGTATTCATCCATCCATCGTCTACACCTGCTCATCCTTGCAGGATTACGGGGGGCCTGTGAGAGAACAATTAACCTAACATGTTTTTAGATTGTGGGAGGAAGCTGGAGTACCCGAAGAGAACCCACGCATGCATGGTGAAAACATGCAAACTCCATGCATGCAAACTCCCTTGGCCAGGATTCTAACCCGGGACCTTCTCGCTGCAAGGCAATAGTGCTAACAACTGCACCACCGTGTAGCCACACACCAGAATATAACTGTACAAAAAAGCTCACTTCTAAAACAATATACATCCATTTTCATGACCTCTTTATCTTGTTCAGCTCATTTTAGGGGCTGAAGGCTTTCTTTAACAGCCAATATGTCAGCTTAAGCAATAACCTAGGTGTTAACATCATCAGATCTTATTTTCCATGACAGAGGGGAGGTCTGTAAAGAGGAACCTCAGCCCACTTACTCCTTCTACCCGTTGACTCTAATTAAGACCACTTATCAGGATTTTGCTGAGGTCAGGGAGGGGTTTAATTTAAAAACCATTAAGATGTGAGCATAGTCAGGACTTGGGCCGCATCCCAGCCAGATCATTGTAATTAAGTCTTATCTTTGACTATTTTCCCTGCACAAAACATCATAATAATTACACAATAACAATTTTTAAAATAAACTGAACAACAGTGTAATAAATGGGTTGCGCTGGTTATTCAACAAGCTCTGACATTTCAGGGATTCTTGGATGTTAGCTGAGAACTTTTTTCTTTGAGAAACGGAGACATTGTGCTTAAACCTTGAGACGTCAAAAGTAAAAACAGCCCATATTCAAAGTGCAGAATATGTATTTTAGCACCCTGAAGACCATTTCTGTTGTGCTGAAAATGTTAGGGTGGATCCAGACAAGTGATCAATAAACTGTTTCAAAAGCCATTCTGTTCAGATGGCAATTTGTCTTCTTTTTTGGTTTTTTTTGTGTGGTGCTTTGTCTTGATAAAGAAATGCCTTTTTATGTAAAGTAAATAGTAAGTGAAAGGAGTCTGGTCACCAGAATACAGACTGCAGCTCGCAAATACATGCCCATCAGTGTTTTCACACATGCACAAACACTTGACACCAGACGAGAACAACACAATGTGTTGTTTGTATCTCTCTCCAATGAAGGCATCCAATGCTGTCAGAGTACTGTTGTTTCTTTCTCTACTCATCCAATATCTTAACAGTCTGCCAAATTGACATTAAGGTAAAGAAATTAACTTGTTCAGGCTTCTCATGAGACCCAAAAAGCTGTCATCGTAATTGTGAGAGCTGCTGTTCCACACATAGCAATGCGCCTCCCGCATCCCTTGTGGCCAGCAAGCCTTCCATGCATACAGATCAGAAGATGGGAGGAAACAGAGTGGGAGCATTAGTAAACAAAGCAAATATAGCTAAGAGAAGTTCACACTCTCATTAATGTTAAAACTTCCCTTTCAAAGTAGCTAGCATATTCTCCTTCTCAAACCAATCCTCAAACAACTGAAGATATAATTCACACTACAAACCATGTGAGAACTGGCTCTTTACAAATGCTTTTTGTACCTGATCAAGGACATTAAATATTCATTGAAATCAAACTGCTAATATGTTTTAGCAACAATGTGATGTAAAAAAAACAGTTTTCCTGTGAAAATGCACAGCTACTGCCTTTTCTTCCAAGTCTATGAAACAGTAATGTGATGTTCAATTAAATACATCACAGCAGAGCTTTCTAAGTAGAGGTCAATTGATGAAAAAAATATATGTCAACCTAGAACAAATGACTTAAACCATTAACTCAAAGAATGAAAAAAGTGTAATAGGCTGCTTAGCAATCCTTTATGGATTGCACATTGCACCCAAGGTCAACACACCCAGTCTCTGGCCATGGATACAAAACAAAACAGCCTTTTACAACTAATCTAGGCGTTCCATGATTGGACTACTTTAAACAAAGCAGTCCTAATTAAAAATTTTTAAATACAGTTGAAATTGATCATGTCCTGTCAAGATGGCTTCTGTCCCTGTTACAAATTTGAGTCTCTTAAGATTGACTATCTGTCGATACGAAGTGTGAGTCTGATACATGCATTTACCTCCAGGACACATCTGCAGCCTACACACTGTAAGTACATGAAAGTTGTTCAAATCAATGCCACACACCCTTGATTCTCTGCTGGGAAAGGAGTTTCTTGTTCCCAGCCTAGTAGTAAACATTTATTTCTCCACCTCTGGTAGCTATATGTTTGATATCCAATATCAAGAGAATAAAGACTTATTGTAAGCCGGGAAAGCAATAAAAACTGGTTGTCATGCAGTAACTTTTCTCTTAAATGTTTAATCCTTTTTTATGTTGATTTGATAGAACCTGAACTACCAATATCATATTTTAATAAAAGTAGAGATTAGAGATTTCTTTTGTTTTTTGTCACACCTAAATGTTCCAGATTATTAAACAATTGTTAATGTTAGATTCTGCTCTCATTCTTAAAGACATTAACTATTTGGCCAAATATTCTCATTCAGGGTTTTCATGCTAGACAGCTGCTCAGTCACAGCAAGTCTTCCATGTCCTCACTAAAGAAAGCAGCTCCAAACCATCACACCACTACAACCTCGCCTGACCATCAGTATGATGTTTTTTTATGAGTTTTAGACCAGATGTAATGGGAGGCACACCTTTCAAAAGATTTTACTAGTTAATCTATTAATATGTTTTTTGGCAAATGTGAGACCTTTGTGTTTTATTTTGGTCAACATGTTTTGTTTGTTTGTTAATTTGTTTTTTTTTTTGCCTTGAAACATTTCCAAGATGATTTTGTTTGCTCAGTTTCCTTCTTATAGTTTAATCATGAATTCTGAGCCTTACTGAGGCAAATGAGCCCTGCAGTGATTTAGATGTTCTATGTTCTTTTGTGATCTCCTGATCAATCGTCGATCTGCTCTTGGAGTAATTTTGGGAGGCCAGCTTTTTTCTCTTCATAAACACCAGTGCCTAGCAAAGCAGTTGAATGGCTTATACTGCACATATGAAAAGCAGCAGTTCCCACCTCAACCCAACTCCTCCACCTCCCATTCAGACACAAACTCTTGCCATACACCAACCACCCCCCTACCTTCACACCCCCTGCCTGCACTAAGGATCTCAGAGGAAGATGTAAATAGGCTCTTTCAGCACCTGAAAACAAATAATGCCTTGGGACCTGATAATGTCTCCCCATCTTCACTGAGATCTTCAACAAGTCTCTGGAGCTGTGTGAGGTTCCCTCCTGCTTCAAATGCTTCACCAAGAAACCCACCATCACAATATTAAATGACTACAGGCCTGTCGACCTGATGTCTGTGGTCATAAAATCCTTTGATTGACTGGTGTTGAAGCACCTGAAGGACATCACAGGCTCCCTGCCGGACCCCCTCCAGTTTGCCTACTGAGCAAACAAGTTGGCAGATGATGCAGTCAACTTGGGACTACACTTCATCCTGCAACACTCTACCACCCAGGAATGCACGCTAGGATCCTGTTTGTGTACTTCAGCTCAGCCTTCAACACCATCAACCCAGACACCCTCCACCAGAAGCTCATCCAGCTCAAAGTCCTGGCCTCCACCTGTCAGTGGATCACCAGCTTTCTGAAGGACTGGCAGCAGCAGGTGAGGCTGGGGAGCATCTTCTACCGGACAAGAACAATCAGCACCAGCAGCCCCCAGGGGTGTGTTCTCACCCAACTCCTCTTCTCCCTCTACACAAATGACTGCACCTCAGCGGACCCATCTGTAAAACTCTGAAGTTTGCAGATGACACCACTGTCATTGGTCTGATCCAGAACAGTGATGAGTCTGCATACAGACAGGAGGTGGATTGGCTGGTACACTGGTGTGGTCAGAACCACCTGGAACCACTTAAGACTGTGGAGATGATGGTGGAATTTCGAAGAAAACCTCCCCCACATACCCCCCTCAACATCCTCAACAACACTGTCTCTGGACTACTTCAGGTTCCTAGGAACCACCATTTTCCGAAACCTGAGATGGTCCACACACATAGACAATGTTTGGAAAAAGGCCCAGCAGAGACTGTACTTCCCGTGGCAACTCAAGAAGTACAACCTTTCACCGGGGCTGATGGTCATCTTCTACACTGACATAATTCAGTCTGTTCTGTCTTCGTCCATCTCAGTGTGGTTGGTCTTTTATCTTCAGGTCAGCGCTACAGAGCACTGTCTGATAAAACCAGCTGCCACAGAAACAGTTTCTTCCCCCAGGATGTTTCTCTGATGAACACTTGACAGTCAGAGTTCCAGAACAACACCATGCATACTTGGACTGGTCTCACATTATGTTCTATTGTAAAGTCAATGGTGTATATATGTACATTAAAAATATATATATTTTCTATTTCCATTATTACATATATATATTTTAAAAAAGTCTTCACTGAGAGCAAAGCGTACCGAAGTCAAATTCCTTGTTTGTCTGCACAATCTTGGCAATAAAGCTGATTCTGAAATCATCATATGATAACCATATTTTGTATTTATAAATTGTTTAATGATCTGAAGCATTTTATGTGTAACAAAAAAGCCAAAACAAAGGAACTCTGTAAGAGGAAAAATATTGTTTCACACCACTGAAGATCTTAGTGCCCGGCATTAGAGTGCTTAGTGAGAGAGATAGCAAAGTTCTGATAATGGAAAAGAAATAAAGTAATTTAATTGCGCTCCATCTTTTATTGTAATATTGAACCTCATATTGCAACATCATTAACCTATATAGCCACATTCACCCAAAACACGCACATTCACACACCAATAAGCAGATAAGTAGGCAACTTGATGCTAAATGCCTTGCTCAGGGGCACATCAACATGTGGCTTGAGGAAGCTGGAATTGAACCCACAACTTTTAGATTGTAAGACAACCTCTCTTCCCACTAAGTCACAGTCACCTCAACCTGTCAGCCAACAAGAATATTGTTATGAGCTTTAAGCCTTCACTGTCAACTGTTGGTAGTTTGTAGGTCTAGGTCATTAAGGGAGAACATTTTTAGACAGTTTTAGAGAAGGAGCAGGCATATTATCCCTTCTACTCTCCTTGCTAGAAGTTGTCCTTAACCTATATTTTGTCTTATCGTTCACTTTAAACAGACTGCAGTTGCATTTGAAGAGAATGTAGCCAGAGGCTCTCATTTTTAAAATGAACTAATATTGTGAAATGTCACCTATTCTGTTCTTTTTGCATCATCTGGGAACCTACTAAGAGACTTATGTCATGGTGATACTGCTACATCCACTAATGAAGTTGTGCTCCTCAAGACATTACAGTGTTGCTGCCACTTGGAGTCAGTCTCAGTGATATATGGATATGTCTGGTGGTGTTAGTGCCGCTATTATTCCTTTCACTCTTTGCTGTTATAGAAGCTACATAAGTTAGAATTAGCCATTCTTGGTCATCCCAGGTGGTGTCTGCATTTGTGTCTATGGCACTTTATTCTCCTTGTTGTAAAACATATTGCTTTTTTCCTTCCACACTACACTATCACCCAACAATGTGGTTTGTGTTCTAATATGACTGAGCAACTCTGTCTGTGTGTATTAAGTACTCCCTTTCCTTCACTCTGCAGAGAATCAGATCAATCATATATTTTTTAACATGCTTGTTTTTTTTTATATAAACAGACATATTTATTTTCAAAATTACGCCCTTTGTGCATTGTCTGATTATATTTTTGGAGTTCTCTGTGTGATTTCCAGTTCAAACTTCTGGGTTGATTAATAATTACTATAAATCTAAATCTGCCAGGGGAATGTGTAATTTTGAGACTAATATGTTTAGAATCTGTTAAAGTCCAAATCATTTTTATCACCTCCTGAGACATGGAACCTCGGAACTGAAAGTGGATGTACTTTTTTTCCATAAACATTACTCTTTACATAACTAGTAAGAATATGTTGTTTTGACCAATCCCAATAGTTTTTTTAATCTACCGAAGGAGCTAAAATGACACTATAAGTGTGTTAGTGATCTACTGTTGACTTTAAACCCTTTTCCATTCCACTTGTGGAAAGACCCAGGCTTTTCCTCAGCTTAATTTTGATGGTCCCACTGATGGTTCCACGCTTTACTCAACTTTACTTTTTCTTAGAAAACAAAGTCTTCCTCTTTCCACACCTCCCATAGAAGTTCAACTTGTGGAGTCTCTTTCTGATTGTAAAAACACACACTTATCTTATTTCTTCTTTTAGCATTATGTGATTTATTTTCAGGGTGAACTTGTTAGGATGGTCAGACCTGGGCATGTTGGAAGTTGTTTTAAATGCCCCAAACTAGAATATTTATTTTGATGTGTAATAGATGATTTCAAATTCATTTGAGACCTCTTTGAGAGCTACTTTCTGGTAGCTTTCTGGTAGCTCTGGTATTCCTGACAAGGATTGACTGTAGGATTGACTGTGTTTTCAACTTCCTGTAAGATAGCAAGTGTTACAATAAAGCATTTTCAGTTGGTAGCAAATCAGATGCAGTAAGCTTTTATTTTGAAGTAACTGATTTGCAGTTTAGCTAAATGTCTTCTTTTATGTCATTTACGTTTATAACACCTACAGACATGTTTGTGAAGCTCAGGCATAATCAAAATGTTACACTATTAGCTGCTTCACAGATAATTTTATGAGGTTTGACTTTTGGCTGCAGCAGGTGTTGAAAATGCAACCAAATCAAAACGGGATTATTTCTGTGATCACTTTACTTCAATCAGTTAAAGGACAATATACCACAAAACATTTAGCATCTAAATATAAAGCGACTAGTCCAAGTCCTAAAACGTTGTCTCCGTTTACTTTGTCAACAAAAAGCCCAAAGAGGAAAATCCTTACCCCATGTTGTTGCCATGCAACAGAAAATAAATGTTGGCTCATGAAAAGGGTTAACAGAGTTACTGAGAGCAGATCAGGAATGATTTTAAGTTAAAGAAATAATGACTGGTTATCTTTTAAGATCAGTAATAATTTATTACTGCATGCCTTGCCTGTTTTTCCACCCCTGACTGCATTATTCAACTACAGCTGAAAATTATCACATAAATTTACAAAAATACGCAATTACTGAGCTGTCAGTGATTTAAAAGCAAATAGAAAATGTCAGCTCAGCATTGAATTTCAGTATGTTCTTAGTCCATGGCAGTATAGTTGACAAAGCAGCCAAATATGCTGGTATGTAAAATTAAATATGAAGGTGCAGCTATGATCATGTTACGAACAAAATTCTACCAAAACATTGTGGAATTTAGGAACAGGACAGGAAACTATAAAAAAAGTTCTTGCTTTAAAAGTGCCAAGTGATTACAGGGCAGTTGACTTTAATTATGATAAGATCTTATTATGTGCCACCAGATGTTATGTTAGCTGCCATACTGCAAGTTTTTAGGGTGTCTCATAAACACAACACATAGACCCGTTGGTGGTCCATGAACCACAGCTTGGAATAACCCCTTGTGAACTGGCAGGTTTGTCCACAGGTCCACATGGTGCAGGTCTACCAAGACACGGGAGAGAATGAGACAGAGAGAGCGCGTACGGGAGAGAGAGATTGTGTACTTAATTAAAAAAGGATAGTGAGACGGATTCAGCCTCTTGCTCTCAGCTCCCACCGTCTCACCCAGACGACAGAGAGAAAATAACACCGCGGGAGGGGAGGAAAACGTACAGGATCTCAGGCTGATGCATCCGTGCCTCAACATCCATTTCACAGAGATTACAGTCAGTAGCAGGGGAGACGGCACGCATTTCTCCCAGAAACGCGGTGGTCTTACTGAGAATCGGACAGACGTTTTCTCCCTGCTTTAGTGGCAATACATCTGTTTGTCAGGAGCAGAGGCAGATCAGGACACTAAAGGAATATATCCCATCGCGTTAAGTTTTTTCCTGGAAGTTGCGCAGTGAGACAAAGAAAGAAAACAAACAAACATGGGAATGTGTGGCTATCTGGCAGTACCTGGGAAATTCCTGGTCGTCCTCGGACTTAAATTGCTATTCCTTGTACCCGCAGGAGTTCCAGCCAGGAGCGGCGATTCTGCACTGAAGGACAACATCACCGTGAAGCAGGGGGACAGCGCCGTGTTAAAGTAAGTCTCGAACTGGCTTTTTATTCCCAAATGATGATCTCCTATTGAGCTTCACACAGTGTGATGATCCGAGGTGCTTTCTGGACACAACAGGCCAAGAGTTAAAAACAGGCTCAGAATAGCGTTTATGGAACACACAGATGCTTGTTGTCGTGTTTAACTATGTGCGACATAAACGAGTCCTGGTGCTAAACCCAGTGTTTACAGCCGGGCTCGTTGCCCTTGAGTGTTATTGATCTCCTTAGTTATTATCTCACGTTCTAAACTCAAGGGTCGGCGGAGTAAACTGATGATAAGCTGCAAATTTAAAAGTTTACAAAGATTTCTTTGGAAATGAGGAGTAGAACAGCTTTCTGATCTCCTCCTGAAACTGCTTCTGTTCCTGAAATAGGCTTCTATAAGCCCCTGTAAAATATTGATCTAACCCTTTACACTAACACACACACACACACACACACACACACACACACACACACACACACACATATTTGTTGCGTGTGCACTCGATATGGGTGGTGTTTTTGAAGCAGTAGAGCAAGTATGGGGTTAAAATTGTAAATTCTACCCGAGGGGTGTTGCTAGTCATACAGCTGTGTATAGAAAAATGGAAATATGAAAAAAAAGAAAAATAAAAAATAAAAAAATGATATAAAATATATATAATATATATATATATATATATATATATATATATATATAT